CTGGATTCATTACAGCACGTTTCTGTGAGCACAGGGTTGGGGCTAAAGTTACAGGTTAACAGCATCTCAAAGCAAAATTAAGAAAAAACAGTTTTTCTTAATATAGATTAAAATGGAGTTTCTTATGTCTTCCTTTTCTACATAGACACAGTAACAAGCTGGTCTCTCTTTTCTCCACACTTTCTTTGTGCCTGCTTATCTCTCTGCTCTTACTTTCTTTCTTTTCTTTCTTTTTTTTTATGACAGAGTCTCACTCTGTCGCCCAGGCTACAGTGCAGTGGTACGATCGTGGCTAACTGCAGCCTCCGCCTCCCGGGCTCAAAGGATTCTCGTCCCCCAGATTCCTGAGTAGCTGGAACTGCAGGTGCTCACCACCATGCCCAGCTAATTTTTGTGTTTTTAGTAGAGATGGGGATTCACCATGTTGGTCAGGCTGGTCTCAAACTCCTGATCTCAAGTGATCCACTTACCTGGGATTCCCAAAGCACTGGGATTATAGGCATGAGCTGCCATGCCTAACCATTGTTATCATTTTAAATAGTTTTGTCCTTTAGTTCTTTTTTTTTTTTTTTTTTTTTGAGACGGAGTCTTGCTCTGTCACCCAGGCTGGAGTGCAGTGGCCGGATCTCAGCTCACTGCAAGCTCCACCTCCCGGGTTCACACCATTCTCCTGCCTCAGCCTCCCGAGTAGCTGGGACTACAGGCGCCCGCCACCTCGCCCGGCTAGTTTTTTTGTATTTTTTTAGTAGAGACGGGGTTTCACCGTGTTAGCCAGGATGGTCTCGATCTCCTGACCTCGTGATCCGCCCGTCTCGGCCTCCCAATGTCCTTTAGTTCTTAGTAAACATGTAACAACCAGTGTCCATTCCTTTCAGTATGCAGAAGTGAAGTGCGTTGTATAAATATTTGGGCAGAGGTTATTGTTGCAGGTATGTTAAACATCTTAAAGTTATAGCATAATAATGAAACTTAAAATTTCCATAACCTGGACATGTGCAGTGGCTCACGCCTATAATCCCAATACTTTGGGAGGCCAAGGTGGGCAGAACACCTGAGGTCGGTAGTTCAAAACCAGCCTGGCTAACATGTCGAAACTTTGTCTCTACTAAAATTACAAAAATTAGCCAGGTGCGGTGGTGGGTGGCTGTAATCCCAGCTACTCAGGAGGCTGAGGCAGGAGAGTCGCTTGAATCTGGAAGGCGGAAGTTGTGGCAAGCTGATATCACGCCATTACACTCCAGCCTGGGAGACAGAAAAAAAAAAAATCCATAACCTGCAAAAACTACTCCACTAGAACTTTTTTTATTTATGTCAGAATTATTTCTGTGTATGTTGCATTTCCATTAACATATATGTACAGTGTTTTTCATGCCTTTTATTTTAAAAAATATGAAAAAAGTTTAGTTATGAAGAAAAGGTATACGTATGCCAGTTTCTGTATCTGTCCTTTTATTAATTATGTATTTATGAGACAGTTTTGTTGTTGTCACCCAGGCTGAAGTACAATGCTGTGATCTCAGCTCACCGCAACCTCTGCCTCTTGGGTACAACCGATTCTCCTGCCTCAGCCTCCGAGTAGCTGGGATTAGAGGCATGCACCACCCACCTAATTTTGTATTTTTAGTAGAGACAGGGTTTCTCCTTGTTGGCCAGGCTGATCTCGAACTCCCGACCTCAGGTGATTCGCCTGGCTCGTCCTCCCAAAGTGCTGGGATTACAGGAATGAAAGACCATGCCTGGACTATCTGTGTTTTTTATTTACCTTCATTGGATAACTTTATTTATTTATTTATTTAATTTTTTGAGACGGAGTCTCACTCTGTCACCGCGGCTGGAGTGCAGTGGTGTGATCTTGACTGACTGTAACCTCCGCCGTCCGGGTTCAAGCAATTCTCCTTCCTCAGCCTCCCGAGTAGCTGCAACTACAGGTGTGTGCCACTATACCCAGCTAATTTTTGTATTTTTAGTAGAGATGGGGTTTCACCATGTTAGTTGGCCGGAATGGTCTCGATCTCCTGAGCTGGTGATCTGCCCACTTCAGCCTCTCAAAGTGCTGGGATTACAGGCATGAGCCACCACACCCAGTCTGGCGAACTTTTTATATGCTTGTGGGTTGGAGTTACTCTTTAGCCTTCTTTCATTTCTCTTTTTTTTCTCTCTGAGACAGAGTTTCAGTCTGTAACCCAGGCTAAAGTGCAGTGATGTGATCTAGGCTCACTGCAACCTCCACTTCCCAGGTTCAAGCAATTCTCCTGCCTCAGTCTTCCAAGTAGCTGGGACTACAGGTGAGTGCTAACACGCCGGGCTAATTTTTTGGTGTTGTTTTTAGTAGAGTCGGAGTTTCAGCTTGTCAGCCAGGATGGCCTCAATCTCCTGGCCTGGTGATCCTCCCACCTCAGCCTCCCAAAATGCTGGGATTACTCGCACGAGCCACCACACCTGGCCTGTCTCAAGGTTTTTAAAACATGTTAGTGCTAGTAGATGGCTTCAAGGATTGCAAGTTTTACAGTACAGACTCTCAACTTCCTTAGTTTAATAAGATTTGTCAGCTTTTGGTGATGTTAATGATGAGTTGCTCTTTTTCCTGTCTCTGTCATTTCACTTTCCTGTTAGAAATAGATTAGACTGGCCGGCCATGGTGGCTCACCCCTCTAATCCCAGCACTTTGGGAGGCTGCGACAGGTTGATCGCTTGTCAGGAGTTTGAGACAAGCCTGGCCAACATGGTGAAACCCCATCTCTACTAAAAATACAAAAATTAGCTCTGCGTGGTGGCGTGCACCCATAATCCCAGCTAATTGGGAGGTTGAGGCAGGAGAATCCCTTGAACCCGGGAGGTGGAGGTTGCAGTGAACCAAGATCATGCCACTGAACTCCAGACTTGGTGACACAGTGAGACTCTGGGCTGAAGAGGGAGAATCACTTGAGGTAGGATAATCCTGCCAGTACACCCCAGCCTGGGTGATAAACCGTGACTCCATCTCAAAAACAAACAAAAAAGGAAATAGCTTAAACTGGGAGGCTTCAGACACAGAAATTTATTTCTCATGAATTTGCAAAGTGGGAAATCCAAGAGCAAGATGCCAGCCACATTGGTTCCTCATGAGAGCCTTCTTCATGGTTTAGCCCAGCCATCTTCCTGCCGTGTCCTGACATGGTGGAAAGAGGAACAGGAAATGAGCTCTTTACTGTCTCTTTATAAATGCACTAGTCCTATTCACGAGTAGTCAACACCCATGACTCAATTCTCTCAAGGTCTGCACCTGCAGGAATATCCTATTAGAGAATACCAAAGCTACCAAGGCTTATTTGAAAAGTAGTTATTGGCCGGGCGCGGTGGCTCAAGCCTGTAATCTCAGCACTTTGGGAGGCCGAGACGGGCGGATCACGAAGTCAGGAGATCGAGACCATCCTGGCTAACATGGTGAAACCCCGTCTCTACTAAAAAAATAACAGGAAACCAGCGGGCGAGGTGGCGGGCGCCTGTAGTCCCAGCTACTCGGGAGGCTGAGGCAGGAGAATGGCGTGAACCCGGAAGGCAGAGCTTGCAGTGAGCTGAGATCTGGCCACTGCACTCCAGCCTGGGCGACAGAGCGAGACTCCGTCTCAAAAAACAAAAAAAAGAAAAGTAGTTATTTATCTTTTTTTATTTTTTTGAGACAAAGTCTCATCTTGTTGCTGAGGCTGGAGTACAGGGGCATGATCTTGCCTCACTGCAACCTCCACCTCCCGGGTTCAAATGTTTCCTGCCTCAGATTCCCAAGTAGCTGGGATTACAGGCGTCTTCCACCATGCGCAGCTGATTTTTTTGTAGTTTTAGTAGAGATGGTGTGTCGCCATGTTGTCTGGGCTGGTCTTGAACTCCTGAACTCATGATTCACCCACCTCAGGCGACCAAAATGCTGGGATTACAGGCATGTGACACTGCACCCGGCTGTTAGCCAATTCTTGTTCCTGATAATGCTGTGTGTTTTCTTGACCTCATATATCAGAAGGTAGTGATCTTAACATGTATTTCAGGTCTTACATTGTGTACTGGTGGTAACTACAAGTTTTGGCTTTTTTCTTAAGAGGAAATTGTTGAGAATTCTTCAGTCTGTATAAATCTACTTATTTTTTTCTTGCTTGTTTTATCCTGGGTTGCAATATTTGATTAATTGATTTTTATGACTTCACATGTGAATTTTCAGTATGTGGTATGCAATATAACTGACACACTCCCCCATTAATGTCACAAAGTGCCACAGGGTACAGTGGCTCACACCTGTAATCCCAGGACTTTGGGAGGCCGAGTCGTGTGGATCACCTGAGGTCAGGAGTTCGAGACCAGCCTGGCCAACATGGTGAAACCCGATTTCTACTAAAAATGCAAAAATTAGCCGGGCATAGTGGCACATGCCTGTAATCCTAGGTGCTCAGGACCTAAAACAAGAACCTTGCATGAGCCTAGGAGGCAGAGGTTGCAGTGAGCCAAGATCATGCCATTGCACTCCAGCCTGGGTGACAGAGCCAGACTCTATCTCAAAAAAACAAAAATACCAAAAATTAAAAATAAAAGTCACAATATGCCTGTTCCACATGGATATAGGTGATTTTGTAACAGTTATTCAGAAAAATATGGTATTAACTTTTTTTTTTTTTTTTTTGAGATGGAGTCTCACTCTGTTGCCCAGGGTAGAGTAAAGTGGCACGATCTCAACTCACCACAATCTTTGCCTCCCAAGTTCTAGCGATTATCCTGCCTCAGCCTCCCAAGTAGCTGGGATTACAGGTGCCCGTGACCACGCCTGGTTACTTTTTGTATGTTTAGTAGAGACAGGGTTTTGCCACATTGGCCAGGCTGGTTGAAATCCTGACCTGAGGTGATCCATTTGCCTCGGCCTCCGGAAGTACTGGGATTACAATCGCGAGCCACCACGCCATGCCTTTTTTTTTGAGATGGAGTCTCATTTTATCACCCAGGCTGGAGTGGAGTGGTGCAGTGTTAGCTAACTGCAACCTTCGCCTTTTAGCTTAATGCAATTCTTGTGACTCAGCCTCTGGAGTAGCTGGGAGTACAGGCGCTGGCCACCACACCTGGCTAATTTTTGTAATCTTTTCTTATCTTGTCAGTGCTATGGTTATTTGACAATACAGAATTTCCACTAATTTTGGTTATTCTCACAATAGCCTGAGGTGTATTATTTACCAATATAGTATATTGTGTGGTTCTTTAGCATTTATTTGTATACACTAAATATGCTGTAAATATGAAGGATATACATTTTTCTCCGATGTGGTAGTGATAAGTGTGATACACTGTAGGGTCACTGTGGAAAAACACTCCTTACTTTAGACTTACACATGTTTGTGTCCTGTCAGTGTTTTGTCATAATATTGGGAATAGGCTTCCATAGAAATGATTTGAAGGACATGTAATCATCCTTGTTTATTAAAGAATCTTACTCCTTTTGTGTTCCTAAACTTTGAAGCTCATATTTGGGAAGTTGTAAATAAGAGATATTTACACATTTCAGTATTATATACCATCCGTACTTAATTGGAAACCTATTGGTGTTTAAATTTTGTAGATATCTCTTCCAAATGCATGTTGAAGACATTGTCATCAACAGGGAAAGGCAATACAGAAGTGATCCTCACCGGGACATTGCAAAGACAAGCAAGTCATCACACTGGAGAATTTTGCCTCCATGAAATTGGGAAAGACATTCATGACTTCGACTTTCAGTGGAAAGAAGATGAAACAAATGGCCATGCAGCACCCATGATGGAAATCAAAGAGTTGACAGGTAGTACAGACCGACATGATCAAAGGCATTCTGGAAACAAGCCTATTAAAGATCAGCTGGGATCAAGCTTTCATTCGCATCTACCTGAACTGCACATATTTCAGCCTGAAGGGAAAATTCGTAATCAAGTTGAGAAATCTGTCAACAATGCTTCCTCGGTTTCAACAGCCCAAAGAATTTCTGATAGGCCCAAAACCCTTATTTCTAGTAAGTATGGAAATAATTCCCTCCATTCTTCATTACTCACACAAAAATGGGAAGGACACATGAGAGAAAAATCTTTCGAATGTATCGAGAGTTTCAAATCCTTTAATTGTAGCTCACTCTTAAAAAAACACCAGATAATTCACTTAGAAGAGAAACAATGTAAATGTGATGTATGTGGGAAGGTCTTTAATCAGAAGCGATACCTTGCATGCCATCGTAGATGTCACACTGGTGAGAAACCTTACAAGTGTAATGAGTGTGGTAAGACCTTTGGTCACAATTCATCCCTCTTCATCCACAAAGCACTTCATACCGGAGAGAAACCTTATGAATGTGAAGAATGTGACAAAGTTTTCAGTCGCAAATCACACCTTGAAAGACACAAGAGGATTCACACTGGAGAGAAACCATACAAATGTAAGGTTTGTGATGAGGCTTTCGTGTATAATTCATATCTGGCAAAGCATACTATACTTCACACTGGAGAGAAACCTTACACATGTAATGAATGTGGCAAGGTTTTTAATCGACTATCAACCCTTGCACGCCATCGTAGACTTCATACTGGAGAGAAACCTTACAAATGTGAAGAGTGTGACAAAGTTTTCAGTCGCAGATCACACCTTGAAAGACATAGGAGGATTCATAGTGGAGAGAAACCATACAAATGTGAAGAATGTGACAAACTTTTCAGTCGCAAATCAAACCTGGAAAGACATAGGAGGATTCATACTGGAGAGAAACCATACAAATGTAAGGTTTGTGGCAAGGCTTTCCAGAGGGATTCACACCTGGCACAACATCAGAGAGTTCACACTGGAGAGAAACCTTACAAATGTAATGAGTGTGGCAAGACCTTCCGTCAGACATCATCCCTTATAATCCATCGTAGGCTTCATACTGGAGAGAAACCTTACAAGTGTAATGAGTGTGGCAAGACCTTCAGTCAGATGTCATCCCTTATATACCATCATAGACTTCATAGTGCAGAGAAATCTGAATAGTGTAATGAATGTGGCAACACCTTCCATCACTATTCAACCCTTGTATATCACAGGGCCATTCATACTGGAGAGAAACCTTACAAGCGTAATGAATGTTTCAAGATTTTTAATCAAAAAGCAACCCTTGCACATCATCATAGACATCATACTGCAGAGAAACCTTACAAATGGGAGGAATGTGACAACGTGTTCAGTCATGAGTCAAACCTTGAAAAACATAAGAAGATTCACACTGAAGAGAAACCATACAGATATAAAATTTGTGACAAGGTTTTTGCATATAATTCATACCTGGCAAAACATACTAGAATTCACACTGGAGAGAAACCTTAGAAGTGTAATGAGAAAATGTGGGACATATACACCATGGAATACTATGCAGCCATAAAAAAGGATGAGTTTGTGTCCTTTGTGGGGACATGGATGCAGCTGGAAACCATCATTCTTAGCAACTATCACAAGAACAGAAACCAAACACCGCATGTTCCACTCATAGGTTGGGAACTGAACAATGAGATCACTTGGACTCAGGAAGGGGAACATCACACCCGGGGCCTATCATGGGGGGGGGAGGGATTGCATTGGGAGTTATACCTGATGTAAGTGACGAGTTGATGGGTGCAGCACACCAACATGGCACAAGTATACATATGTAACAAACTTGCACTTTATGCACATGTACCCTACAACTTAAAGTATAATAATAATAAATAAAAAAAAAAGTGTAATGAGTGTGGCAAGACCTTGGGTCAAAATTCACACCTTGTAATTCACAGTGGAGAGAAACCTTACAAGTCTAATGAATGTGGCATGGTTTTTAATCAATAATCACACCTTGCAAGTCATCACAGACTTCGTACTGCAGAGAAATCTTACAAACGTGAACAATGTGACAAAGTTCAGTCGCAAATCCAGCTTCAAATACATAGGAGAATTCATACTGGAGAAAAAACATACAAATATAAGGTTTGTGACAAGGCTTTCGGGAATGATTCACACCTGACAATACTAGAATTCACACTGGAGAGTAACTTTACAAGTGCAATGAGTGTGCCAAAGCCTTTAGTGGGCAGTCACCACTTATTCACCATCAAGCAATCCATGGGACAGGGAAACTTGACTAATGTAATGATTGTCACAAAGTTTTCAGTAATGCTACAATCATTGCAAGTCATTGGAGAATCCACAATGAAGAGAGATCTTAAAAGTGTAATAAATGTGGCAAATTTTTCAGACATCGTTCATGCCTTGCATTTCATTGGTGAACTCATGCTGGAGTGAAACCTTACAAATGTCATGATTGTGGCAGGGTCTTCAGTCAAGTTTCATCCTACGCAAAACAGGATAATTCATACAGGAGAGAAAGCTCGCAAGTTTGATGATTGTGGCAAAGCCTTTACTTCACGTTCACACCTCATTAGGCATCAGAAAATCCATACTGGACAGAAATCTTACAAATGTCATCAGTGTGGTAAGGTCTTCAGTCTGAGGTCACTCCTTGCAGAACATCAGGCAATTCCTTTTGAAGACAGTTGTTTCAGATGCAATGAGTATAACAAACCATCAAACATTAATTGACATTAGAGTCAAATCAGCCTTGACCTGAGTTTCAGTTGACTTAACATTGAGTTCAAGCATTAATTACCATTAAACTGTTTATGTTAAGAGGATTGTGCTGGGGGCCATGGCCCATGCTTGTAATCCCCAGCACTTTGAGAGGCAAAGACAGGTAGGTCACTCGAGGTCAGGAGTTTGAGAACACCCTGGCCAACAGACAGGAGTCACTTTTCCCAAACTGTATTTTCTTTTTCTTTTTTTCTTTTTGAGATGGAGTCTTGCTCTATCGCCCATGTTGGAGTTTAGTGGCATGATCTCGGCTCACTGCAACCCCCTCCTCCTAGGTTCAAGCGATTTTCCTGCCTCAGTCTCCCTAGTAGCTGGCACTACAGTTGTGTGCCACGATACTTGGGTAATTTTTTGTATTTTTAGTAGAGACTGGGTTTTACCGTGTTAGCCAGAATAGTCTCCATATTCTGACTTTATGATCCACCTGACTCCACCTCCCAAAGTGCTGAGATTACAGGTGTGAGTCACTCTGCCTGGCCTGTTTTTTGTTTCTTTAACAAAAAGTTATAGGGATTTCTATGAGTATTGTACTGAATCTAAATCACATTCAGTTGTATAATCATTGAGCAATATTAATTTTTCCAATCAGTATGGGGTTTATATCTATTTATACATGTTTTTAATCATTTTGATCAATGTTTGTAGATTTCAAGGTACAAACCTCACCTTTTAATGCTTGTTTCTAAATGTTTCTTAGTTTAAGTTCTTTAGCAAATGGAAATGGTTTCTAATTTTCTTTTAAAATTATTTATTGTTAATGTATGGAAATTCAGCTAATTTTTGGTGCTGTTGTTCTATTCTGCAAATACACTGAATGTGTTTATTAGTTCCAGTTGCATTTTGATTGACTCTTCGTGATTTTCTTCACAGAATGTCATGTCATCAACAAACAAATAAAATTTGACTTCTTTCTTTCTGATTTGGATGAGTTTTATTTCATCTGCTATTTCACTGCTCTGGCTAGGACAGCCAGTATTGATTGAATAGAAGGGGTCAGAGCATTCTTGCATCATGTGAGATCCTACAGGGAAAGCATTCCATTTTCCCCGATTGGTTATTTCTGCATTGGTCATTTCATGGATGGTCTTTCTATTGTCGAGGTAAATTTCCTTCTGTATCTATTTTGTTTAGGATTTCCATGATGACTGGATGTTGAATTTTGTGAAATGCTTTTTCTTCGTCTACTGAGATGATGTGATTTTCATCTTTCATTCTGTTCAAGTGGTATATCTCATTGATTTGCTTGAATATGTTGAACCATCCTTGCATCTCAGAAATAAGTGGTACTTGCATATCTACAATCCTTTTTATATCCTCTTGAATACAGTTTGCTAGTACAAGGGGTCTTCAGGAAGTTCATGGAAAAAGATATATTATGAGAAAATTGTGCGTGATGTCGCATTTTCTGCACCAAAATAAACTGGTACAAGCTTGAGCCCAGGAGGTAGAGGCTGCAGGGAGCCATGATCATGCCACTGTACTCCAGCGTGGGTGACAGAGCGAGATAGTGTCTCAAGAAATCAATATGGTGAAATTTGAGTAGAGGAACAATGAAATCATTGATGCTTTATGAAAAGGTTGTGGAGATGATGCCCAAAAGAAATCACTAGTTTGGATAACTCATTTTAAGTTGGGACATGACAGTGTTGATTAAAATATAGAAATTAGCTTGGTGTGGCGAGTGCCTGTAACACAGCTACTCGGGAGGCTGAGGTAGAAGAATGACTTTAATTTGGGGACCAGAGGTTGCAGTGAGCCGAGATCACGCAACTGCACTCCAGCTGGGCAACAGCAAGATTCTGTCTCAAAAATAAAATAAAGTAAAATAAAATAAAATAAAATAAATAAAATAAAAATAAAACCACTTCTCAAATAAGCGTTGGTATAATCTTAGGAGGTAACATCATTGTTTTGCAACTATAATATGTGTTCGAAATATTCTTCTATGACCCCACATTTCATTAGATATGTTTTTTAACCATTTTAAAACTGATTTTCTCTGAAATTTACTGTGTTCAGTTTGCCTGAGGACTGCATGCTTTCTAGTCTGTATCATAATTGGAAACATTTTCTGGTACCTTATAAATCATTTTAGTTTGTTTCAATGTGTACTTGATAAAGATATGAAGGAACTTTTTCTTTATGCTGACAGCAAAATTTAGCTGAAGTAGCCTATTATTCCATTTTCTTTGTTCATGTCATCTGATTAAATGGTGAGCTGTGAGCTGCTAAGTGAATGTTCCCTTCAAGTTTCTCTGGTCCATAGTATTCTTTGCAGATGTTGAAGGATGGGCAGGATTGACTTGGAACCTTGTTCCAGCAGAGCCCCTGTGTTCATGAAGAAAACATTTGCTCAGATCTCCTGTGTACCGCTGCCTCTCTTTCAGTGTTTTAAACACCTATAGCTATGTGTTCCCAATCGTGTTTATTTTGAAGATATTACTATCATTTTTTCTGAGAAAATAGTTACATGTTTAGGATTCATACCATCAGAACCTTAGATGTTGAAAGAGATACTTCATTTGCTCAAGTGTATAAAATTGTCCTGGAATTTTTTTTTTTTTTTTCTGAGACAGAGTGTCACTAGGTCATCCATGCTTGAGTGCAGCGACACGATCTTGGCTCACTGCAACCTCTGCTTCCCAGGGCCAAAGATCCACCCCAGTTAGCCTCTCAAATGGCTGAGACCACAGATGCACACCACCACACCTGGCTAATTTTTTGTACTTTTGGTGAAGTGTCTCCTTCTCGAAACAACAGTGACTCAACCTGTAATGTACAGATGGGGAATAAGACCAGAAAAGCTCAGTCAGAGTGACACTGACCCCTGAAATACTTCGCCAAATAGTGTGTGGCTTTTCCTGTAGGAGAGGGCAATGCTCAGGAGTAATTTGAATTTTAAATGGATTCCTGTCCTCCCAAAATGTAAAAACACAAATACCAGAATGGAAAAAACGGGGGATTAGACTCAAATCATCTTGAACTTATTTTTTCTCTGGCCACACCCACTGCTTTTCCTTATCTCACAGTTTTAACCCACCTACCCATGTCCCCTGCAGGCCTGTCCCCTGAGTTCTACAATCCTGTGTCCAGTTGTCTCAGCTCTCTGCTGGGACATCAAACAGGCATCTCCACCTTCACGTGTCCATAAGTGACTTCCTAAACCCCTAAACACATTCCCTTACAGTCCTACACATCTCAGATGAGGGTGACAGTGTACTTCTGGAAACTTAGTCAAACTTGACAGCATGTATTTTAAATATGGGAGATAAATTACATTATTTGTAAGTGTTGTCATTTATAATGTAAAGAGAAAGTTGCAGGAATACATAAAAGGAGTGAGAAAATACATCATTTCCAAAATTCTTTTGAAGTGTGAGAGAAAAATATTTTAAGACCTCATCCCTATGGATCTGGGCTCCCAGGACCCCTCTGACCTCATCTCCTGCCTGGGTTCTCCTGGCTCCCTCTGCTCCAGACACGCAGGCTTCTTTCTTTTTTCTGGGACTGAGGTTGCTCCTGTCTCAGGGCCTTCACTCGGGCTGTCCCTCTGCCTAGGATTCTCTGGCCCCTCAGCTGCAAGTGACAAGCAGCGTTTCTTCCCTAAGTCTTTGTTCTGACATCAGTTTTTCTGTGGAAACTTCTGATCGCCCACAGTCCCCCATTTGACATGGCAGCTCCACCTTCACCCCCACCTCTGGTCCATGTTACCTGTTCCGTGTGATTCTTTTTGCTCCTTCGCTAT